GCGCAGCCTTTAGAGGAGCCGAACGAAATGAAAGCCTCCACCACTGGTGAGGAATAAGCAATGCACCTCCAAAGTGAAACTACAACAAAATTATTGAAAGGCACTTGCCACGTCTAGCGACAGTTAGATTCGAAGCGCTCGCAAGTAATTAAATTCCGGTCTCTAAGAAGAGCCGTGCTATCTCATTGTGCGGGCGCTCGCCTATAATTCAATAAACTCTCCAACCTAAGTTCTATCCCCTGTGCCGGCACCAATGATTTTGTTATTTATATGTACTGACTTATCACGTGCTCACCGGTTATGGAAAACATTGTGAGGAAACCTCCATATTTTATAAATATTACAAAATTTAAGGCATCCTAAAACCCTCTGTGCAAACCACGGTTTCTAATATTGACACATTTTTCTTAATGCATATAAATACAATCAGCTATGTTTATGATGCATTCCGCGATAGTGATGTAAAGCGACTTATCGGACTCATAAAATAATTGGTGGTAACGTTTTGGCAATCAATAAGTAAGTGTAATGCTTCTATATTAAATAAAGATATTTGAAAATAGGCTATGTAAAGTATGTGTAAGAACGAATGAATATTTTATGAAGTTGCTACTACCTTCAAGCTATATTAAAACCGTGTTTGTTGACTACTACTTTCTATGTCACATACACTTATGTATATTATGTAATAATTTGAAGGGGAACAATTTTTAAACGCGGCGCAGTATGGACATGCGTCATAGTTATTAAAACACCATTGCGTTAAGTATTCTGTCAACCCATTTTAAATTTCGACACAACCTATCATTGCTTGTTTCCTTGATTTATCATTTTCCAAGTGTTTTTATGGCGTGGCTTGTCTTTTTCGTGAATTTATGTTGCCCAGTACACTTTGGTACGTGATTATCCTGGTACGGCTAAAATGTGCATTGGTGTCTGCTAAGCCCACAGAGGAAGATGGGTCCGTCACGAGACGTACGTATTAGAGAGTTACTTCTGGCTGTGCACTAGGTAAGAGATATTAACTAGGTTCGAAGTAATCCTCCCGTTTGTGCCTCCACTAATTGAAACTGTTAGGCGCTTGTAATTGAATTCGGTAATTGATAGATGCATTGATTGATCAGTAACGATATGTTTCTTCATCGCTGAGCATACGTTAATTCTGCCCTTAAGGTTGCAATCAACGAGTTCATACGTGCCAATTTCAATATCTTCTTAGATTTCGATTGAGGTTTCTCGAGTATACTTAATTTTAAGCGTTCCCTGGACGATGTGCTAATAATATTCTTGAAACAAGTGAATAAATCTCCGCAAATACGTTTTAAAGTTACTTAAATATCGCAACTAAAACTATTTAGTTGTATATTGGTGGCAAATAAGCCTTGTTTAGAGAAAATTTACTAAAAATTTAGGGTACGTTCTTAAAACTTTTACTTCAACTTTACAGGAATTTTAAAGGTACGTAATTCCATAGCTTATCAAAGAAAAATAAATAAAAAATTTATCCCCTGGACCTGGCGGTTCACCTGATGTTGATGAAATGAGCCGCCTATTGACATTCGCATAACCAGTAGGATTGCAGATGCGTTGCCACCTTTTAATATAGAAGGCCCCGTTTATCTCAGCCACCAGAGGAAACGCAGAGGTGTAACCCTTCCACATCACGCTGGTTTTTTGTGAGGTCGTGGTTCTTCCCCGGACGGACAAGCCCGTTCGTGAATGCTTATTAACTCAGTATTATTCTTCATGTCTTTATGTACAATTAAATGCAATAACTTTATATATGGATAAAATTTATCAAATGTATTTAATTAATGGTTACGCATAAGCCAATCGCCGCAAGCAACATTGAGAGCACATGGCCAAAGCAAGGTACATATACGATTCACAGCCCGTGTAACATGAGGGGCGTTAGTAAATATGAACATTAAAATAAGCTTGTGTAACTCAAGCGCATTCAACTCTCAAGACGTTTTGTACAACGCTTGGTGTGTTCGCAATACAAGATTAAGTCATATCAGCAGCGTTCTAACACAGCGTTAGTGGACGGCCCCTTATAATTCTCGGAAATTCTCGAGAATTCGATAGAAGAGGACGGAAACTGCTTTGAATTGAAGAAGCAACAAAAAGAGAACAGATTTTTGGGACATCGTAATGGTGTTTACTGATTTTAGTGCATTACGCAAAGTTAGCGTTGATTTGTCATGGTCAAATATTTCAATACCACCACATCGGAGTTACGGCTTATTGTATGTACGAAATAAGACGAACATCTATTTGATGAAGTACATTGCATCCATAAATATAATACAAACATTCTGATATCGTTAAATTTAATACTCAAAGAAGGATCTAGTGCAAAAAGTGATTGTTGACCGATGCCAAAAAAATGGAGAACCGTATCCGTCAATGGTATGGTACGGATTACAGTTTGCCAAAGTTCCCGATACCAAAAAAAGGCGATAACATGGTTCACCTGATGTTTAGTGATTGCCGCCGTTCATACTATGCCACACACACGGCCACGTGACAGCTTCGGCTGTTGAACGAATGGCTAGGTTCGTCTTGGGAGGTACAACGGCCTTACAGAAGACCGGTGTCAAGTGGAAGTACAATACTTTTACGTTTCTTCTGTTACTTATTTTAAAGGTGTCAACGTATCTGAAAGCCTTGGGGCGCTGTGTGTTGAGCCGCTTGCTCAGTCGAGAATTTTCATGATTTTTGTTCACCCAAAAAGTGCTCAATGCGCCTAAAGAAGTATTCACTTCAAAAATAAGGGCTTTGCTACTTCAACTTAACGTACAAAGAAACAGAAAATCAGAAGTTTGTCAAATTAATAAAATTGAATATATAAATATACATTAACTAAATAAGGACATAATATATGCATATATGTCGTACAATTTCATCACAAGGTTACATCAATGAAAATATTTTATAGCCTTAATATCTATTGACTCTGGCACAAGCTATGTTAACAAAACTTATCTATCGGATATTACTTTATCGCATGTAAGCGTTCGACGCACGATTTTGAGAATCATGTAGGGTTGGAGCTCACTACACAGGCTACGCCTAGTGTGATGTTCACAATAAATTATGCCTCGGCGAAACTTTTGTATTGTATTCCTAGTATATATGTCACTTTTTATTTTGTTTTTGTAATATTTTTATTTTATGACTTTCATATGCACATTTTTTCGACAAAAATAAAGATTATAATTATTGTGGGATATTTATTCGATTTCTCGTCTGGTTGGATTTATAAATAAATATAAACATACACAAATAAATACTGTATATAAAAACATAAATACATAAAACCGACGGAAGGCTTGGCACGGGAGACCAAACGGCCGAGGGTTAGGGCGAAAAGGTATTGTATTTTAAACGCTCATCATGTCGTAATATAAAATGTTGTCAAATGAAATATTAAGCAGTGATTTTTTCATGATTAAAGAAGTAAGCTTCACTCAAATTTACTGTAATTTACTGCAGCGTGAAGGTAATAATGGAAAAATATTCTAATGGAAAAATATCCTTATGTGGTCACGATAAAACATTCGAGCGCTTCCTTCTTCAGAATATCTGGGTTCAAACGAAATGGCGAAATATAAAGTTTACCTAGCTTCTCCATTGCTCGAAGAACGAGAATCCCACATGAAATTGCATTGAACGGCAATTGCTTGAAATAAAAGATATACTTCATTCGCATATTCTCCTTGTTTATGTTTTATGGAAATAAATGCTAAAGGTCGCTTGTTACTGAGTACTTTCCCAAAGTAATTTATCTTTCCGTTTTATATCTGAGCTGCTATTCGACTGATATTGTATTCATTTTGTTTTGCGCGAAGGTGGGCGATCTGGCGATTCACCTGATGTCAAGTGATAACCGCTGCCCATTGGCATTAGTAACACCCGTAGATAGATACGTTCCCACCTTTTAAAAGTGGGCCCCGGCTACCTCACTAACCAGACAAAACGCTGGAGTATAACATTTTCACTTCATGCCGATCTTCTGCGAGATTACGGTACCAAAAAGGACGGACTTACCCGTTCGTGCAACAACACTGGTGCGTGGCCCTACCAACAACAAATCCGAACCAAGAGTTTAGTCGGATTATGACCGTCACTGGAGCTTGTGCATACTAGCCATTAATACTGTTGACCTACTTAGATTCAGTCGGTGCGACAGCGGGTGCGTCGATTTCCAGGAACACGTTGACGAGTGTCGGGCTAAGCGTGTGTCTGAAGTAACAAGCTTAGCCCGAAACGCGTCAAAATCTTGGATTGGGGCCGACTAAATCTAGCCCAATTTATCCCCATGAAGACACAGGTTAGCATGTATACCGCGGAGAGGAAACCCTTCGTCGTATCTCCTTCTTTTGAAGGCACTCCTCTTACCCCAGCTTCGATCGGAATTCTCGACGTTGACATATCGAGCGGCGTTCAATTTCGAGTTCAGTTGGAAGGAGGAGACAAGCTTGCTTTTAAAAAGCTTGGTGTCCTTAACAGAGCAAGACAGTATATCCTGCTGGCCCATCGCATACAGCCCCGTAAAGCACATATTCAACCTGGAATACTGTTCTCACCTCTGGGCTGGGGAACCAAAATACCAGCTTTGTCTCTTCGACCGTAGCCATCGAGGAGCCAATCGAATTTACGACGACCCAATCCCGTCCGATCGTTTCGACTCTTTGGCCTTGCAAAGGGATGTTGCATCCCTGTGCTTTTTCTATAGCTATACCTTCCCTTCAAACCTTTTAATTTACACACCTGAACTTCAACAAGTGTAGTATTAAAATACACGTTTCTACTAATTATTCAAAGTAAGATCGAAGACATTACTTAAAATTTTATGAACAATAATCGTAAGCAGAAGTATTTAATATAAAACAGTAACAGCGATAATTATAAACTGACATGTAAAATATAGTTTGCTTTAAAATTTGTAATTTTGTTTGTGCCGCACTAAAAAAAAGAATATTGAGACCCCGTTAACGGTAGAGATGGTTATCCCTGATACCGCTTGCGAGTTCCGGCTCCCAGCGATCGCCGTTACCCAACAACTTCTCCTTGTTGTAGATCAGCTCTTCGTGCGTCTCCGTCGAGTACTCGAAGTTGGGGCCCTCGACGATGGCGTCAACGGGGCACGCCTCCTGACAGTAGCCGCAGAAGATGCACTTCGTGAGGTCGATGTCGTACCGGGTGGCTCTACGGGAGCCGTCGCAGCGCTCCTCGGCGTCGATGGTGATCGCCTGAGCGGGGCACACGGCTTCGCACAGCTTGCAAGCGATGCAACGCTCCTCGCCTGACGGGTACCGCCTGAGCGCGTGCTCGCCCCTATAGCGCGGCGAGATTGGCCCCTTCTCGAATGGGTAGTTAATCGTCGCGGGCTCCTTGAATATGTGTGCCAGTGTAACCGCAAAGCCTGTGGAAAAATAATAGAAACGCCTCATAATACATGTAAGTTTTATGGCATGGTTTTGTATTTTTGTGTAGGCATAAAAGGATACGTTCTGTCAATAGGATTAAAATGGAAAATTTTTGTTTTTTTCTTATTTAGGTTGGATTGAAAAATAAAATACAACATGCGGTAAAATCATGATTAATTGGATAAAAATAAATATTTTTATCAAATTAAAATATGGTATTATAATGTAGGAGGTGGTTTGGTTTCCATCAACATTTAAATTTTATGAACAATAATGCGTGTACTCTGGGTGGCCTATATAATTACATATTACGATATAACCATCGTGCTATGGAAGGGGTAATGCTTGGGGTTTCTCTACGAGATCGAATCAGAAATGAGGAGATCCGTAGAAAAACTAGAGTTACCGACTTAGCAGAGCAAGTCAGCAGGCTGAAGTGGCAGTGGGCACGGCACATAGCTCGAAGAACCGATGGCCGTTGTGGCAAAAAGGTTCTCGAGTGGAGACCGCGTGACGGCAAGCGCAGCGTAGGAAAGCCTCCCACAAGGTGGACGGACAACCTAGCCAAGATCGCAGGGACGCGTTGGATGCAGGCCGCTAACGACAGATCGAAGTGGAAGTCAATGGGGGAGGCCTATGTTCAGATGTGATGATAATTATGATATAACCAGGTGTGTCAAAATACATAAGAAAAAATATATTTATTGTCTTTTATTTTGTAAGTAGTTTTTGCAAGATTTCATTCCACAGATCCAATGATGTTTAATTATATAGATAACGCAGGTCCATACTGCGTGGCGTTTAAAAATTGTCCCACTTTACGTTATGTCAATATATAATTGAATATAACAGTTGTTCTATAATGAACGATACAGAAATAAATAAATAAATAAATAAATAAATAGCAGTCTAGAGAATTACACCAAATGGTGTTATTTGCGGGTTTCAGCGCGCTAGTGTCATATCTATTGTTTATTCATTGCACAGATCATAATACAGCATTTTATGGTACGCAAAAAATAGTGATGGCATTTTTGTGCAAGTACACATTTTCCTGCAGCTGACATATTGTCGCGTTGACGCGCGTGACTAGGAATCTAGACGTATATACAATCGTTTGCTTATTGTTGATGTATATACAATTACTGTGAAATGTCTTATTACTGAAAACATTACGGCATAAGTCCATCCGATTCTGTAAAACATGATAAGAAGAGAATCTTCTTATCATGTTCTAAAGAATCGGATGGGTATATATCAGCTTATATCCATCTGATTGGTATGTGCCAGAAGTTTTCCGAAAATTCCGTGAATGCAATTTACCGAGTCGTTACTATTTTGCAGTCTCACCTCTAATGAGTTCCGTCCAGAACAATGTTTGGGCAACTCGATCCACGAAATCTGGCATGCGGGTGGAGGGTGGCTCACTGTTTATGTAGACGAACTTAACGTCATATTTGGTTCTTGGCCTGCAATAGTTTATCGGAATGGGCGGTGGGCACGGATTGAAGGGGGGACATGTCGTTGCTTCGTTTTCACAGCCCCCTTGGCTGTAAGCGCGAACGTTTTTCGGCAGTTTCGCATCTGCGTTGCGCACAAGTGAGTAAGGCTTACTTTTCGACGCGAACGGTTCATAATCAAATAGGAAACGACGGCCGACCGCCGAAATGTTCCTGAACCGTTGCATAGTCGATAGCCGCGTATTGACGTTGTCAAATAAATGACGGATAGTTTTTATTTTTATAATTTTAAGTGCATTCACTAGTTAGCAGTAGGTTTTTATAAGATCGGAACTTATGTGTAGATATTAAAAATGTAACGAAATGACCAAGCCTTGAAAATGAAATATGAACAATGCCTTTGAACGAGTTCTTGACTGAATATTTTTTTACCGCGGGGGACTTTTGTACAATAAAATAAACAAACAACTCAAAATTCCAAACTGACTTAAAAATACAAAGTGTTAAACTTTGAATATTTTTCGCCAATTGTGTTTAGAATACGGTCCAACGCTGGTAGGATCACGCAACAGTGTTCGCTGTTGCACGAATGGGTAGGTGCGTCCGGGTTAGTACCACGATCTCACGGGAAGACCGGCGTATAGTAGAAGTGTTCCACTTCTGCGTTTCGTTTGGTGAGTAGCCGGGGCCCATATTATTAAGAGGTGGCAACGCGTCGCAACCCTACGGGTGTTGCAAATGTCCATAGGCTGGCGGTTATCACTTAACATCAGGTGGACCGCCAGCTCGTTTGCCACTTTCTCACATTAAAAAAAAAAAAAGAATAAAATTTACCTAGATAAACACAGAATCGGACAATACTTGACCATCGATTCAACTAAGAAACAAGTTGAAGCAAATAATCAAACTTGTCTAAACTTCACCCAAATCAATTAAGAAAGTTTCTCTACGGGGAACTCCAGACGGTTTTGGTGTATCACGTGAAGGAAACGGAAGTATTTATAATGTTAACGAAGCTTTTAAACAGCATGCAGTTAACTATGTAGACATGAATATTTGTGTACTTTAGCCAATCATATTCTTAAAATATTAAGTATGGGTCTATGTTTCATCATTGTAATTTCAGCCTGTTTGAGTCAACTGCTATAGAACAACTGCAACTGAATATAGGCCTCCCCTATAGACTGCCACGAAGTACGATCCTGAGGCACCTCCATCCACCGACTTCTCGCACATTTGCTACTCCATCTAGCGGAGGGTCGTCCTACACTCCGTTTTTCAACACGTGGTCACCACTCGAGAACCCTGCTGCCCCATCGGCCGTTAGTTCTGCTTTCTTCGAACCTCATGAATTCTATAAAGCCTTTATTGCATGAGTAAAAATGGAAGCTCAACGTTTTGTTGATGAAATAATTGATAATGATGTCATTAAAAGCGTGGGCTTTATAACACTATACAGTTATCATGGTAGTATAAGCAATTTTTCTTAAATAACTTACGTGAAAGTTCATAGATAGAGCGAAGGGAATTGATTATCCAAACCTAAAATTGATTTCTACGCTAAAACGCTTCAGTGGTAATAAAGTTCACGGAGCTGTTATCGGTGAGTCTCCGGTAAACTTGAGGAGAATTAATAGCCGCTCCATTTGACAACGGTCGGGGAGTTAATTACCAACTTGTGACTCGGGAACAATTTTTTCAACCGAGCTTTTCATATTTCTAATATTTGTGATATAAACGTAGTTTCCATAATTCTTTGAGTTTTTGGGTAAATTTTGAGTATATTAATTTAATTTGTGAATTGTCCACTTTATACAGCGTGTCGTTACAACCACGACAATAAATGAACACACATATAGAGGATAACTTTTTAAAATTGTAATAAAAATTTACATTCTTTAAACATCAATATTTACCGAGTTATTAAATTATCCAAAACAAACAATTTTAGAACACCCTTACGTATAAAACGGTAACGTAAAGTTCATTCGTAAAGGTCACAAAGCATATGATAGGAATTGAATTAAATTGCTCAGTCTGAGTAAAAAATATATTACTTAATTGTGCACGTGCAAGAATTTTATTTGAAGGAGGCCGAGAATGCGAGATATCAAGTTTTGAACTTTTATAGTTTATCACTGTCACTTTTTGATTTTATATATCGATATTTTGAGCCGATAATTTGGATCCGATATATCGTTACAAAATATTCAATACCAAAATCGTATCAAAAAGAAAGAAAGAAAGAAAATCTCTTTATTTGACATCACTAAACAAAAAATACATATTCCAAACATAAACAAAAAAATTGTGACATCAAATAGGAACTCCATTTCAGCAAAATGCTGCAGTTCTATTGTCATTAAAATATGTAGAAAAAGTGCGAAAAGATTGTCGCCGCTGTGGGAATCGAACCCACGTCTTCGTTCTCGTCATTCTTCCACATTGTTTTAAGATGCGTTAAGATTTTCGTCGGTGTGGTAATCAGCCGTTTAGATCAGTGGCTAGAGCGTCAGGCCGCGAATGCCGAAGACGTGGGTTCGATTCCCACAGCGGCGACAATCTTTTCGCACTTTTTCTACATATTTTAATGTTCAATCTTAAGTGCAAAGATTAGCACTATAAACAATTTAAATTTCTAAAAAAGCAATGGTGACATCTCTCGTTCGAATTATCGTTGTAAAGCGATATTCGAAGTTGTTTGTATGCTGGAAAGGATATAACAACAGATGGCGCCAAGCATTGGTTCAAATGCTAAGAAAACAATGTGGAAGAATGCGTTAAGATTTTCGTCGGTGTGGTAATCAGCCGTTTAGATCAGTGTCTAGAGCGTCAGGCCGCGAATGCCGAAGACGTGGGTTCGATTCCCACAGCGGCGACAATCTTTTCGCACTTTTTCTACATATTTTAATTATTATTTACTAGATGAGACGAACAAAAAATAATAATAATACAAAATAATAATAATAATGATAACAATTAATTACGTTCCTTTACAAGTGGGCTGTAAAGTAAAATATAACATTGTAAACTACATATATTAAATTCAAATATAAAATTTAATAAACATAGTAAAATAAGCATAATTATATACAGACGTAAGTAATCAAGTCAGAGTGAGACACAGAATGTGATTGGTTGAGGCAATATAAAAGCCGCTAAGATGGAATTATTTAAAGAATTTGTTTGTACATAAATCATTTATGAATTAGTGGATGTTTGGTCATTTAGTAAATGTAATTTAAGTCTTCTTTTAAACAGTCGAGCCGTGATAGCTCAGTGAGCCGTGATAGCTCAGTGTCCGGGCGCTCGCCTTTAATTTAATATACTCGAGCAACCTGAGTTCGATCCCCGGTGCCGGCACCAATGAAGTTTTTAATTTTAAGTGCTGACTTATCACGTGCCCCGCGGTGAAGGAAAACATCGTGAGGAAACCTGCATATTTTCGAAATAATTAAAAAAAATTCGAAGATATGTGAAGTCCGCCAATCCGCAGTGGGGCCGCGTGGTGGACTATGCCCTGATACCCTCGGTATAGAGGAGGCCTTTGCCCAGCAGTGGGATATGTATAGGCTGTTACTTTACTTTTTTTTTTAAACAGTCTTACTGATTTCATGGCACGAATTGGTGGAGGTAAATCGTTCCAACAGCGAGAAGCCACGAATCTAAAAGACCCCTTAAATATCTTGGTCCTATGCTTAGGAGTCACAAAGATGTGAGCACATTTTCTATTAGGGTATCGTGATAGTTGACTATACCGTACCAATTTGTCGTGTAAGTAACGTGGAGTATTTTTTCGACATATTGAGGCCTATATTAATATTTTTATAAATATCGATATGTTTCTTCAGTTTCCACATCCCTAAACGTCCGTCAATGTTTCAAACGCCAACACTACTATTAAGCACGATTTCAGTGCTGCTATATTTAACATTTCATCATTTACTTGCTATTTCACATCAAGATTTTTTAACGGCTCGGAACTGAATAAAGAAGAAATATGTCTTCAGATATTTAGATTGTCGTGAAGTCCGCCAATCCGCAATGGGGCCGCGTGTTGGACTATGCCCTGATACGCTCGGTATAGAGGAGGCCTTTGCCCAGCAGTTGTATGTATAGGCTGTTACTTTACTTTTTTTTTTAAACAGTCTTACTGATTTCATGGCACGAATTGGTGGAGGTAAATCGTTCCAACAGCGAGAAGCCACGAATCTAAAAGACCCCTTAAATATCTTGGTCCTATGCTTAGGAGTCACAAAGACGTGAGCACATTTTCTATTAGGGTATCGTGATAGTTGATTATACCATACCAATTTGTCGTGTAAGTAACGTGGAGTATTTTTTCGACATATTGAGGCCTATATTAATTATTTTTATAAATATCGATATGTTTCTTCAGTTTCCACATCCCTAAACGTCCGTCAATGTTTCAAACGCCAACACTACTATTAAGCACGATTTCAGTGCTGCTATATTTAACATTTCATCATTTACTTGCTATTTCACATCAAGATTTTTTAACGGCTCGGAACTGAATAAAGAAGAAATATGTCTTCAGATATTTAGATTGTCGTGAAGTCCGCCAATCCGCAATGGGGCCGCGTGTTGGACTATGCCCTGATACGCTCTGTTGACACGAGGCATATGCTGTTAATTTTATATAAGCTGTTACATTACTTTACAATTATGACGCCAAGCATTGCTAAAAAATTTATAGGAATAAGGTAGATAACACGTCGAGATTTCGCGCGTTGAGGATGTCGACAGATTATCTTAGTTACTTACTTTGTTATTTCAGACAGATTATCTTAGTTACTTACTTTGTTATTTCAGACAGATTATCTTAGTTACTACCTTTGAGTATTATTTGTTATCAGTATCCTGTGTTGTAAGGATATTTTACAAACATAAAATTCTAGCGGACAAACACCCAGATGCGAAACAACTATCTGCGGATCGCACAAATAGTTGTCCCGTGTGGGAATCGAATCCACGACCCTCAAAGCCAAAACCAATGCAACGTTTGCAAGGGCACCACGGAGTCATCAAAAATAGCTATCATTAGTTTCATATATTGAATGTAAAGATTTAGATAAGATGGCGGGATATTTAAATAGTATAGGATATTCATATTCTGGGCCTGTAAAATAACAGATGACATAGAAAAATCGCGACATATCCCGAATTGCTTAAATGTATCACTCGTATAAATAGTATTTTATGAGTA